ATTCAATCCATCCCAGACACATCCAATCCATCTCAGTCACATACAATCTATCCCAGTCACATTCAATCCATCCTAGTCACATCCAATCTATACCAGACACATCCAATCCATTCCAGACACATCCAATCCATTCCAGTCCCATCAAATCCATTCCAGTCACATCCAATCCATCCCAGTTCCATCAAATCCATCTCAGTCACAACCAATCTATCCCAGTCACATCCAATCCATCTCAGTCACAACCAACCTATCCCAGTCACATCCAATCCATCCCAGTCACATCCAACCCATCCCAGTCACATTCAATCCATCTCAGTCATATCCAGTCCATCTCAGTCATATCCAATCCATCACAGTCACATCCAATCTATATAGTCATATCCAATCTATCCAAGTCACATCCAATTCATCTCAGTCACATCCAATCTATCCCAGTCACATCCAATCCATCTCAGTCCCATCCAATCCATCCCAGTCATACCAATCCATCCCAGTCACATCCAATCCATCCCAGTCACATTCAATCCATCCCACTCACATTCAATCCATCTCAGTCACGTCCAATCCATCCCAGACACATCCAATACTTCCCAGAAACATCAAATCCATCCCAGTCCCATCAAAGCCATCCCAGTCACATCCAATCCATCCCAGTCACATTCAATCCATCTCAGTCACATCCAATCCATCCCAGACACATCCAATCCATCTCAGTCACATCCAATCTATTTCAGTCGCATCGAAGGAAACATCCACTCCATGTCCATCATATATGCATTTCATCTCAGTCACATGCATTTCATCTCAGTCATGATGACATACAATCAATTAAAGGCTCAATAATTTCCACAAGCATTTGATAATCTTACGCGTTTTTGATATACCTAAACCTTAAATGTACGTCAACATAATTCGATGGCATTACCCTTTTCTTGCTTTTATCCACCTGGGCGTATATGGGTATTTCATCTCCTTGATCAAACCTGTTTCTTGTTTTCAATGAATCATCAATTTGTGCATAGATTGGGATTTTACTCTCGTCTTTTTCATTTATGATAGATGGGTATCTATCAATTCTGTTCTGCCTAATTAGCAATAAATATATAGTTTTTATGCCTTAAAACTATTTTAAAGATCTAGAGCTAAATTTTAGTCGGTACGCAATGGAACTATAAAAGAACAAGGTGTCTACTAGTATAATCAACGACTGGGTTTCAATTTTTCCCAAGCAGGATGACCTTCGATAACAGGGAACTTTTTATTAGAAAATTGTAAGTTATCCGATTATAAAAGTGGTAATTTAACCGTAAAATGTGGAGGCATCCTGCAGTGCAGACCTGCTCGCATATCTTGTCACAGGCTCTTTAATTTGTAGAACTTGAATATCAAAGTCTAAGCCATTAATTATTGTTAATTGATATTTGTATAATACAAGTTTTGCGTCGTGAATTCGCACTGAGAAGAAAAACTCACGTAAAGGTCTTCTGACCCAGGTCATGTTTCTCTCATTTTTAGTATTAATGCGCCCGATAATTGATACTTACTTATTAACACTCTTATTGGACGCCTCATCTCCTACAAAATATATCGTTATATATGGTATTTGTATTAATATGCAGTATAGTATATTTATGTTATTATGTGAAGTGAAACGACAGAGTTGATGGAGACTCGGGGACGTTAATCAGTTTGCGGCACAATCATTTGCTTCGCGCCAAGTGGCAAATAAGGCGTCAACGTTCCTTCGCCAACGAGCTCTGTCGATTGCGACACAATGAAATGACTTTATTCGTAACACATACTTACTTTTCTTTGATATGCATTTCTTGTTGGCAACGATAAATGAAATTATTCCAAGTGCTATCGCTATCAGCAATCCTACGGCAATTACTCCTCCTACGATTGGTGTTAGACTGTTACGTTTCCTTCTAGGTATTACAACCTGAGTAAAGGCTTGACAAGAAATAGTAATG